GAGGGGAGGGGAGGGGAGGAGAGAGATGGGTAGGTAGGTAATATTAAACCACATTATAGATGATAAATGGGAAACCAATTAGTCCTGATCAAGCTGGAGACTCAGATTCTTCTGCCTCTTCTACCCTGGACTTCTATCTTTCAAGGATCTGCCTCTGCTGAGAGTTCATCTAAGAGATAGCTGTGTACAGGGCCCAGAAGGCACCTTTGTTATAAGAAAGGAAAACCAACACTCATATTCTGCAGTAGGCTAGTATTCACCCAGAACCACAGAACACTTTGCAGCTTTATCATACTTGCCCCTAAAAATACCCCTAAAAATGCTCCCACAGTTTTCCCTGGACCTCCCATGTTCAAATTCCAGCTCTGCCATTTTCTAGCTGTGTGATCTGGAGTAACAAACTTAACCTCTCTGTGCCTTGCTTTCCACATCTGTAAAATAGAGATGATAATAAAACTTAGCTCATAGGGTTGTCACAAATATTAAATGCATGTGTCAATCAGATCAGTGCCTGGTGTGTGGTAAATAATGCTGATTATTGTTTTTAATCACCATCAGCATCACACATGAGCCCTGGTGTTCTCCACTTGAGCAGGGCACATATTACTGATTTTCTGCCAGATTCTCTAGCTCTAATACACAGTAGGTTAGGGTCCTTCATGGCCTTAGTACCTTCGAGGGTGGCTTTATTTCTTTGCGGAGAGGTAGCTCTCCCCTCTGCTTTGGGGTTCACTTCCCCCTTTGGTTGTGAGAGAAGCAGTGGGGTTCATTCTGTTTTCTAAAGAACCCATTTCTCCCCCAGCCCACTCCTTTCTTGATGGTTGGATAAAATGGCCCCTCTTAGAGACCAGTCCACGGCCTAGAAGGCTCAGTTAGGCTCTCACTCAGTACAAGCCGGTAAAGGAGTAGGGATCCTCTCGGAAAGCTTTTCTATGCCCTGCAGGCCTGTAGTGTGGCTCTCCAGTGGGAGGTCAGAGCTCCCAGGACTTGCTGCAGCCAGGAGGGCTCTGCGGGCATACTCTCTGCAGCCCGTACTCTCAGGTAGCAGCCCCTGTGAATGAGTTTTAAACCAGCTGCTTCTGGAACACGTCTGTACTAATAATGCCTTTCAGTTATGCAGCTCCGTGACAGGGCAGGGCCTGACAAGGCCTCTTCCCTGCCTCGGTTGTGCGTAGGTAGATAATGTGTTTTTGGCCTTTCTGTGGAGCAGGAAGCCAACACCAACAATTGAGGGACAGGCTGGGGTGGGTGTGGAAAGCTGTTTCCCAAAATAGCACCATGCTGTGGCATTTATTCTTAAAAGAAAAAACGTTGTGGCAGGCCTGAAAGTTCTGTGCTGCATTGTGACGCTCTCAGGGTGGCCTCTGGTTCATCGCGGGCCACAAATGGCGGCCACCGGCAGCTCTGGGGCTATGAGCGGAGCACAGCCCAGGGCTCAAGACTGGAGTCCTGTACTTCTTGGCAGACACACTAAAAATAAGAAGACAGGAATGGCTAAATGTCCAGGGCATTTAGCTTGTGGCTCTCATCTGGCCCTCACCTAGCCTGCCCACGGGTAACAGCCGGAGCTCCTACCTGTGGCCCAGTTCTGCCCTCTCAGGGGATTAGACTTCTGTTTTTGTATCCCAGCTCCACCTGCTGTGTGACTTTGGGTAAGGTGCTTGACCTCTCTCAGCCAGCCTGATCCTCTGTAAATGGAGATGTCAGTACCACGCTCCTGGTTGTAAGGGTTAAATGAGATATTTTATGTAGAGGCTAAGCAAAGACCTGGCCCATGACCACTGCTCAATGAATGTCAACCAAGGTAGCATCGTTATCACTCCTTCAGGGATCCAAGCCTTTGCCTTGTCCTGCCTCCCAGGCTACTGGCCTCTTCTTCTTTTTTTTTAAGTTGACATTTTCTCATTTCTGAGATAGGCAGAAATGACACGTTTGCTCATAAAATTTCAGGTGTAACTCAGCTTCGCTCACATGTCATAGACTGCTTTACAGGAGTATTTTTCCAGTGAAATGTCACAATTGCATGATTCACTGCCACACGTTGGGCTTTGACTCATATCGTTTCCTCCGACCTGGGCCACAAAGGGTGGCATCTCGCTGGGGAACTGCACAACATACGGAATGCTTCACGAATTTGTGTGTCATCCTCGCTCAGGAGCCATGCTCATTTTCTCTGTATCGTTCCCAATTTTAGTATATGTGCTGCCAAAGCAAGCACCAGGCTATGGCTTCTTGAGTGACGAGGGAGCCTCTATCTCCCCCGTGGGAGGCAGGGCAAAGGAGAAGGGAGCACGCACACCCTGAAGTCCCTCTGCCAGGCTCAAACCGTGCCTCTGATGCCCTTCTGCTGTTTAACTTCCGGCACATTCCTTCATCTCCCCGTGCTTCAGATCGCTCTCTGCAAGTGGAAAAACGACAATAGGATCTGCCTTCTAGGGGTGCTGTGAGGATTAATGTGTTCATCCACAAGAAGCCCTTCTGCTTGGCGTGGGGCGAGTGCCCAGGAAACAGTAATTGTCCCACATCCGGGCAGGACATGCTGCAGTGCCTGTTATCAATGTGGCACTCAACAAATCACTCTTTGCTGGGTTGGATCCAATGGGATAGACCAGCTACCTTTGGTTCCTCCTTGTTTCCCCCCTTCTCCCAGGTTCTGTTGAAAGTCTTTAAATGTATGGCCCATGAGAAATAACAGAGGTATCATGGGTGGACAACTGCCCTTGTTTGCCAGGATCTGAGCAATTTCTTGGGATGCAGGATTTTCAGTCCTAAACCAGGATGGGCCTGGCAAACCAGGATGGTTGGTCACCCAACTACTACTTGCATCTGCCATCTATGGGGCCAAGGCTGAGGTGTTTGCTCCTAGAGGAGCAAATGGAGGGGTGGTGATGTACTTAATGTTCTCCACCCCCAAATTTTTATTAGTGCCTCCTCTCTCCCAAGTGCTACTGAAATCTGCAGCCTGCAAGCCTACTCTGCACTTGCCGGTCACAAATATTCCAGAAGTGGAATGTGTTGGCCGGGGGTGGTGGAAAGACGTATCTTGAACAGAGCAACATTCCTCTTAGTCCTGCTTCCAGGCAATCACACTGATTTCTTGAGAGGTTGGTGCTGATGGAAACTTGGGGTTCCATTTCCCACGAGACTGGGAGTTGGTACCCCTGGTTCTCCACTTTCCTCTCTTTGAGCTGTGTGACCCAGGATAAGAAGCCTAACTTCTGTGGGAATCCAATGTCCTCATCTGTAAAACAGGAAGAAAATTAGATAATCCTTCTAGCTCATTGTGCCCTGTGGGGTAGGGCCACTGGCCATGCAGGCCAGGGCTGGTGTGGTAGGCAGGGAGGCTGGCTGAGAGGATTCAGAGGGCAGGAAGCTGCCTGGCTGCCCTGCTTGTGCTGAGGCCGCTCTGCCCCTCCCTGCTGAGCACTGGGTCCTTTCCACTTTGATGGGAGCCCTCCGTAGGCTTGGTGACTTCATCCGCTGGCCATGCCCTGATGATGTCTCACCTGGGCCATGTGACTTATGCTTTCTTAGCGTGAGGTTCCTCATCTATGAAATGATGATACTTAAAATACTCTCTTGTTGAGTTGTTGTGAGAGTAGTTCATTGCAGGCCAAGTATCTGGATTCAGGAGGGGGATTTGTACACAAGGATATAAAATCAGTCTAATTTTATATCCACACTTCATTTTCAGTTCAATCATCAAACTCCTGTTTATTGAACACTTACTGTGTGTTAGGTACTGAGTTAGGCCCTGGGGACACAATGATGAATGGGGCACAGATCCTGGCCTCAAGGAGCTCAAAGAAGGCCAAAGGGATAAGTGTGCAGGTTATTTATTCTCCTTCTCCTTTTGTCTTTTTTTTTTTTTTTAATAGGCTCCATGCCCATCATGGAACCTAAAGCAGTGTTTGAACTCATGACCCTGAGATCAAGACCTGAGCTGAGATTAAGAATTGGATGCTTAACTGACTGAGCCATCCAGGCACCCCTACTTTTGTCTTTTTTAAAAAAAAGATTTTATTTATTTATTGAGAGAGAGAGAGAGAGGGAGAGAGCAATAGCACGAGCGGGGGGAGGGGAAGGAACAGAGGGAGAAGGACAAGCCAACTCTCCACTGAGAAGGGAGCCCGACACGGGACTCTATCCCAGAACCCCTGAGATCATGACCTGAGCTGAAGGCAGATGCTTAGCCAACTGAGCCACCCAGGTGGCCCTCCTTTTGTCTTTTTCTGAACAACAGTTTATTAAGAGCTCACACTGGCAAAGATTGCTAGATCTCTAAGCAGTATAATCTTTCCCTTTCTTTTTACTGACAGAATCCCTATATTGTTGGGTGTGGTAAGATGCCCACTAAAACACCCCAGCCTTCTTTTTAGAGGTGTGTATGTGGTGGGGGAAGGGGGATAGGCAATGAAATATAGTTGGAAGTCACTGAGTGGGGCTTACAGGGAAAGCTTTTTAAAGGGGGATGACTCAGCCAGAAGGTCCCACTTGTCGTTTCCCTGCATTTTCCTTCTCTTTACCTGGAGCACTGAAGTGAGGACTGGAGCTCCAGTATCCATCTTATGAACATCAGAACAGAGATCACACCTTGGAGCTGGAAGGAGCCTAGATCCTTCATGACATTTTGGAGTCACCATATCTGATTTGGACTGTTTAACTCCACTCTTATTTTATAAGGGGGAAAAATCTGTTTGATTTAAAACAATATTTTAAGTCATAGTTACTAGTGGCTGAACACAATTTCTAGTTGATCTATTGAATAGATGTGGAGCAGAGTGCAGAAAAAGACCTAATTTTTCCCCCTAAATGTCAAGATGTTAAGGTCATGGAAATCTAACAAATGAGACCTTAATGTTAAAACACAAGACACCCATTAATCTTTCCCAGTGTATACCAAGAGAAGCTGACTAAACCTGCCTTTTCTTTGAAGATTTATTTATTTATTAGTGGGGGAGGGGCTAAGGGAGAGGGAGAGAGAATCTCAAGTGGAGTCCCTGCTGAGTTGTAGAGCCCGATGTGGGGCTCAATCTCACATCTTGAGATCATGACCTAAGCTGAAATCAAGAGTCTGACGCTCAACTGACTGAGCCACCCAGGTGCCCCAAACCTGTCTTTTCTTTGTATGCCCTCCATAGGAAAGCTGAGTTTGAAATACCCTTAAATCCTGGTGTCTTTAAGGATTGACAACCAGAGAATTAAATTAACAGAATTAAGTTTTTTATTTCAGGTTTGTCGACATGAGATGATGAACTTGAATCATCTTTTTTCTTAGTAGAGTGCTTACAAATGCTCAAAACGTTTATTAGAAACCCGGACTGTTTTATCCATCTGCATGTTCCCGTTATGGTTGTATTTTTAATAATGTTAAAGGAATCAGAATTTTTAAATTCACCTAGCATACATTTTTACTCATTCCAAGCAATAATAAGAATAGTTTGCACTTATTGAGCACTTACTCTTTGCCAGTGGCTGATAAATACTTAACAAATGGAGCCTCACTCAATCACTTCAACATCCCTATTGAGACACATGATATTATTACTGCCATTTTGCAGATGGGGAAACTGAGGTAAAGGGAGTTCAGGTAGCCTGCTCCAGGTCACAGAGCTAAGAAGTGATGATGGGATATGAACTCAGGTAGTGTTAAAAGTAACTCCTATCCTGAAATATGTGAGTGACTTTGAACAAACCTATTTCTTTACATATGAAAAAGATAAATTTTCTAGAAACTTTACTTAAATCTGCCCAAGAACATACTGAATTCACCCAAGATCTTGGGCCATCTCCAAGAAGTCCCTGGTCTTAAGGGATGGTAAAGAAGATGCTCCCTAATTTGAAGGCAACCAACATGTATAATATTTGTGCATTCTCATCCTTATTTAGAACATCTGAATTCCATGATCATTCACTTAAGCAGGGAGAAAGGAAGCCAAAGGAGACAGTCAGTGTTCAATGCCTGGTAAGTCTTCAGATGCTTATCAGAATGATAGCCTGCCTGATAACACACCGTTTGTTGGCTTTCTTCTTTCACCGGTCTCCCTTATCAGCACTTCCTGGGATTACCTCCCAAATAAATGTCTTACACTCAAATCCTTATCTCAGGATCTGCTTCTGGGGAACTCAAATTAACATTCATGTTATCTAAAACATCCATCCATGCATCCATCCATGCATCCATCCATCCATCCATCCATTTAACCTTACCAACCTACCATATGCCAGGAAACATAGGAGGTACTCAGGGTAAGATATAAATAAATCACTGCCCTTGAATTAAAGTTGCTCAATCGAATGACTTTATATTTCCCTTGTAACCAGTCAGAGATATTTGATACACTGGCTGCCAAAGGAGCATTGGAAAGACTGGAGAATTCCCTGTTCAGAATCTTGAAGAGGGCTTTCCCAGCAGAGCCAGCCCTGCAGGGGCAAACAGTACCTGGCACAGAGGAGGTATTCAAGAAAAGCTTACTGAATGAGTGGACAAATGGGCAGAATGAACAGATGGATTGATTATAAAGAATATTAGGTTTTCTCGGGGATTCACCTCCCTTGCTTTAATTTGCAATTAAAAATACTATCTCAGAAAAATCAGGAAACTCATTCAGGTAAGATGAGTGTGAGATCTCTCCCAGCAAAGATTTTACATTTGAAAGAAGAGGGAGCAGGGAGACAGATGAACCCAAAAAAGGACCTCTGCACAGGTGTGGGGAGATTTGGGGGTGGCAGCCTTTTCTGGTATACCTCAAATCATAGAATACAAGAAGGTTAATCCAAGCTGCAGGAATGAACAAGACCATGTTTTGAGCCCCTGCGTTATCTGTTAACGTGTGTAATCCACAGGCTATTGCTTATGATTCCTGTATATTTGGGAGTTCTAAGAATGACAGCTCTTAATGCTTTGCACCCCGCTGTGTGGAGGGGCCTGACGAGGCCCGAGCCCTGAAGAGTTGCCAAAAAGACGAAGGGTGCTAACTGGTGTTCTAGAAGAGTTCCTGGTGGGCTTTTGTTTTATGGTGGGCTCCTGGAGGACTTGATGGAGTGGAAGGGGCTGGAGCTGGTACTTGGAAGTGGGTAGCATTCGGCTGGCTCAAGAAAAGAGCATCAGTCCTCATTTATCAGAAACTTACTGCGTGCAGGCTTTGGAATAAGGGCTCCTGAGCAGAATCTCATTTAATCCTCCCTAAACTCAAACACGTACCTATATCATGATCC